CTTGCAAACTGTTGTAAATTCCTTATGGAAATCTGGAGCACATACAACATATTGAGCAGTTTTCCATTAGTCTCCAAACACTGCAACAGTACCAGCATAACTCTGATACAGAGCTCAAATCCTAAACTGCAGCCAGCAGCTTGCTGCAATGCTACCTCAGAACCACAATGCTTATAGCGGCATTAGTGGTCCTGTTTCAATTATGGTGCCAGAGGGCAAAGCTTTCAGAAGTGGATACTCAGAGAAAGTATTATCGGTGTTTTTATAACAAAAAACCAAACAGAACAAAAAAACCTGCCCCAAAAAACCCACCACTGAAATTACAATTCAGTTCATTCTTGTTAACATATTGTGCTGTTGCTGAGTGAGCATCAGCAACAGTTGCACCTTGAATTGGTATTGCAAATTACTTGATGACGAGGGGAGTCAAGATTATCGTGTTTATTGCCATTTCAAGTCATAGTTGGATGGCCCCAGCCATGATTTCAGCTGTCAGCCTGTGCTTCTAGCTAAAGCATGTTCAGTATCGGAGCAATTGAACAGCTTAACAACTGCGAGTGTGACTACTAGCGTGAGCATAGATTCTGAGTGTCTTTGCTATTAAAAAGGATACTTTAATCACATCTAATCTCTTACCCAAATGCAATGAGAGAAAAATAAGAGAATTTGTACCTCTTACTGCAGAAAACAGCTTAGGGTGACTGTTTATTTGAACTGGGATTCTGGGGACAAAAATACGCAGTTTCCTGCAAGTAATTACAGGATTTCCCAGTTAAATTCTTGTGATTGTCACTTATTTGGTCCATATAACGTGTGACATATGAAATCACCCAGCTGCCTTAATCTTTTATAAGGCAACGAGCAATTTTGCAAGTTACATTTTCAGAGTGATACCACATGACCTCCTAAGGCATGTGTGCTTATTTTTAAGATATCCAAGTCTGTATTTGCTAGGGCCAAGCTTTTAAGAAAATACTTGTCATTGAGTTTTTCCATATAGCACCATATTTAGCAATCAACACTTTCTTGACAGGCATACACAAGCGGGGAATTGCTCACAGGGGAGCTGAAGAAGGTTCTTATTGAAACATTGCAGCCCTTGGTAGCAGCTCATCAAGAGAGACGGAAGCAGGTCACAGATGAAATGGTGAAGCAATTCATGACTCCACGGAAGCTAGCTTTTGAATTTTGAAGAAATGCTTCTGTAACTTACCACTTGAAAAAACAAAACTGAGTAATTGTTGTCTTCTGTTACATGTCATTACTCCCTAGTTATGCACAGCCTGCAATCAGTGCTTTATAAATTCTGCTTTTAATGAGTTAATTATGATGAACGTCAGAGTACAGGAAAAGTTTAAAATAGGACCTGTATCCTTGTATAGGACTTTAAAATCAGAATATACGAGACAGAATTGCCCCAATCTTGCAGAAAAGCATGTCTGTCAGCACAGCACTGTATTTTATTGTATTTCATGTTGAAAATATAAATAAAACTTTCATTTTGACGGTAAAGCCTAACTTGTAAATTGTTTTAGGTATGTTGGTACAAAGTCATATCTCAAACTAAGAACTAGTAGCTCCATTTTCTTGGTTTCCTAGACTGCACGTCCTTTTCGGCTACCGCAAACGTGCTGCACGCACAAAGACAGTGAGCATTACAAAGTCGATTACACAGTGACTTAGGCCTGGGATCAATACAGAAAGGAAGGAGATTTGTGGGTTGAACACAGGAGAAAGAATATCAAGCTGGTTTTGCTATCGTCTTCCTCTTTGACCTGGGGCAAGTCACAGAAATCTCACTGTACTTTTGTTTCTCCAGCCATTTAATTGGTCGGTCTGCCTCTGGAGGGAGGAGGTTATCACAATGTTATAAGGTTCCTTCATATTCTCAGGTGGAAGATAGCGTAGAAATGTGAATTTTAGTTTCCACTTATAAAAAACACCATATGTTATATCATGCTGTGAAAATTAAATCGCTGCTGGACACAGGGATACTTCTAGTACTGTCTGTTCTCTTTTACTGCACCAGTCATTTAAACTAGGGGTACTTATTTTAAGATGTATTCCAGTGAGAAAGTATACTTTGTTAAAGTACCTCAGGTAAGATGTAATTATCTCCTTTCTTAAAAAGAACTTCAGTGTCTTTGCTATGATTTATGAAAGAAAAATTCAAGTTATTAGCTAATTTGTTTTAATTTGTACAATGCCGAGTGCAAACTGTTAGATATTTCTTGTATTTATGTAGAATAGAAAGTTCTAGCCCAAACATAGTCTTATCTACATCAAATAAAAATACCTTTGATAACACAGGTGGGTATTGATGTGTGGTATTTACAAATCATTTAAAAATACAAGGAAGGCACTTGGATGAGGTGTGAAAGGTTTAAACTTTACCAGGTTCTGTAGTTTGGGGCCTAGTGGACATAAATCGACTGTAGCATTCTTTAAATTTTTTTTTTTAAAAAGTACACTTTTAATTTGACTGTAAACCTCTGAAGTCAGCTGATTACATTTGAGTTGAGGGAGAAGTTTCAAGGGTGAGACTTCTCACTGACTTCCGTAGACCTTGGATCAGAGAATGTGCTGGGCTAGTTGTGCTGCCTGAAGCTGGTGCTGCTGCCTTCCCACCAGTACATGTCCTCTCCAGCAGTGACCTTGCATTTCTGGGATGGAATGCCTGTGCTCTACGCTGTACGTGAAGTACCCCTGTTAGTTTATGTTTGTGCAAAGAACCAGGGAAAGACTGAAATGCAGGACGAGTTTAGTCCTATTGCATGTGTTTCAAACTCGTGCTGAAATTAGCAAAGCTTAGCTTTTGTCTTTTTCTTTCCAGTTTACATAAGCTGGCATTGCTAATCTAATGCCATTGAATTTAAGGTATTAAAGTAAATGTTTACTAGTGACTGTCCCTCTATAACCCACAGACAACCGTCAGTGCTAACAAGTGTTTAACAACCAGTAGAAAAGCCTTTTATTGTTTGGTTGGGTTTTTTCCCAGTTTTTAAAGTGGTGGAGCAATTCTTGGGAAAGAAAAATAGCTTCTTAAATCTAGTTGTAAATAAACTGATTCTTGGTTACGGTAGACTTGAATGATGACCTTCCTGTTCTGCAGTCCGCTCTTTGTCATCTTTAAGCTATACATAAAAGATAAGACTTAAATTGACTTTTAGAGGGCTTTTACCAACTCATAATGCAAATGTCTTCTTTAAAATATTATATGCAGATCTATCCTGCAAGATTTATTTCATTTATTCAGGAAAGAGAAATATGCTGTAGGAGAAACAGTAATGTGTTCTATTCTAACTAAGCATATAGATTAATTTTATAACACAGCAATTAAAATCTGTTTTGAAAGTTCTAGAAAGGAAATCGATAGCAAAATTATTTAGTATTTGTTTACTCAGCAAGGGCCTTACTCAAGTACTCTGACGAATTCTTGCAAACATGCTTCTGAAATTACAGTTTCTCAGGGGAGTCTTGGCAAATTCCTGAACCTGTTGTAATTACAGTTCATGACCCAGTGGTATTTAAAAGTAAAGACAAGGCAGTCTTCAAATGTGAGAAGTGTCTAAGAATGTTATTAGGCAATGTTCATTATGTTTTCCTCAATTTGCTCGTATTTTGTTCATCTCGCTGTAATAAAAATGCAGATAAAAGTCTGTATCAAACTTCTTTGATTTAACTCTTTTTTTTTTTCTCTCTTTTTTTTTTTTTTTTTTTAAGGGCTTACTCTGTGTTTGACCTCTCTTCCTACCCTTTTAGGTGTTGACTTAGTCATCTGATGGAGCTGGTCCTTGTTCGGATGTCCAGGGCCTTTCAAGTAGTGAAGCAGGCTGCCTTATAACCCCCTCTATACAGTTCCACCAGGCAGATTTCAGATTGCTCCCAGAGCAAGCTAATAAGGGTTAGTTGCCCAAAGATTAACTCCTTGCAAGTGAGGCTGGATGTTGCATTTCCCTGTGTACAGTAGCCAGCTCAGAAATAGGGGAAGGTCAATGTGGCCCGTTTACGATGATGCCTCAGTAGGTTTGGTGTAAAGGCTGGTACTTAAGTAGAAACATGATACTCTGCAATTGCTGTTGTCTGAAAAGCACAAATTCTGAAC